AAACCATCAGCCATTGAAAACCCTATGCAGTGCAGTACTGTGCTCACATGGAGTCCCCATGAGTCGGAATTGACTCCGTGGCAGCTGGTTTGGTTTTTGTTTCCCAAGTTGAAATGAAATTAGCATAATTCGATTTGTAGACCAGTTTTGAAACTATATAAGGAGCTAATTTTAAGGCAAACTGATGGTTTTCACAGGGCCAAAATGTGACACTTCTTTTCATAATACTCCTAAATATATAGGGTATTTTTACACCTTTGACGCTGGGGAGTTCTGTGGTGTAATTAAATGAGTGAATCTGTACTTAAGATGCTACATGCCAGAAACTGTTATTTTCAGAATTTGCTTGTTTGGACTAATTTTAAGTTATACATGTATAGTTTTTTTTTTACAAAAATGCTGATGTCATAAAACACATAAAAATGTCTTCATGGAAACAAGTCATGTGTTACCTGAAGTGTCTTGCTTGGTAGATTTCAGTCTTATCACATAGCCTAGGACACTTGGATGTCATTAATACTTGTAAACTCAGGTTTCTGAAAAGCAACGCCAAAGAAAAGACTGTTTCCAGACCTATTTATAGTACTGAAGTGATAAATATTTTGAATTAATAAATCAGTTCATAAAATTTAATTCAGGAAATTCATATTTTTACCTAGGATAAATTAAAAAGCAAATTTGAAAATTATGTATTAAGTATTCTCTTTTCACAGACCATTCTCCCAGTCTCTCACTTGGAACTCTTTCCTACATACTGATAACACATCAATCTTTATATTCACCCCCTGTTTATTTTTCAAATTTTATAATGCAGTAATTCTGAGTCTAGGATGTTCATCAGAATCACCAATAAATTGTTGGTTTATTTGTTTTTAATGTAGTTGCCCAGGCCCTGCCCTATATCTAATGAATCAAAGTCTCTGGGGAGGTAGATGGGAAAAGTGTTTTGTATTTGTTAAAAGTGTTCTGTATAGGATTGGCAGCCAGGGGAGACCTGAAGGCCCTTATTGATATAGTCTCCCATCACCAACAAGTGTCTTAGCTAACTTAGGGTATTCTGTGTATCATCAAATCTACAAATAAAAGGACGTTTGTGTTGAAAGTAGCTTCTTCTTTTGTTATCCACTTTAGGTTGGCTTTAATGCTGATGAAGCTCATAACATCGTTAAGGAGGTGAGTTACATGTTTTGTTCATCTAAGAGCTTGCTTCATTGAGAGTTTTTGAAAGTTAGTTATTTTAAACTTTAAGTATACAGTTAGAAACTAGTGTTAAAACAACAAGATTTTTAATATTTATTCACTGACTCTCTACAGGGATGCCTCTGTTTGTATTGTATGCTGTCAGGCATCTTGGGGCTTACTCTGAAAGATGTTTAAGTACTTTCATAGCCTAGAAAACTGGTTTCCTATATTCTAAAATTGATGATCTGCCTTTTGAATAAAATAACACTTATTCATGTGTTGTTGTTGTTATGTGCTGTCGAGTCAGACCCGACTCATAGCGACCCCTCCTTGGGTTTCCCAGGCAGTATCACTATGGAAGTAGATTGTCCCATCTTCCTTCCAAGGAGTGGCTGGTGGGTTTGAACTGCCAGCCTTCTGGTTAGTAATCAAGTGCCTTAGCCACTATGCTACCAGAGCTCCCTTTATTTATGAAGGGCCCAATATTATTTTAAATGTTAATGGTATGAAAGTATGTCTTTTTGTGTGTGTGTGTTTACTGTTCAGACCCAACAACTGCTCCATGAGAAAAAAGACCAGGTGATCTCCCTATGGGGCAGTTCTGCTTTGTCATATAGAGTTGCTGTGAGTAAGAATCAACTTAGTGGCACACAACAGCAACGTATATAAAATGGATATGGTGTTGGACCCACCAGCCACTCCTCGGAAGGAAGCTTGCGCAATCTACTTCTGTAGTGATACCACCTCGGAAACTATTTGCTATGAGTCAGATCCAACTCGACCGTGGTGAATTTAGACCTTGTAATTAGATAATAGACCCTAGAAATGTCTTCATTTGGACATTGTATGCCTTTTTTTTAATAAAGCCCAATATAATTGGAAAAATAATTGGTTAACATCTCTTAGACACTGGTATGACCAGAAAAACCAAACCAAACTCACTGCCGTTGAGTCGTTCCCAGCTCATGGTGACCCCTCCTTGGGTTTCCTAGGCGGTATCTCTAAGGAAGTAGATTGTCCAACCTTCCTTCCCAGGAGTGGCTGATGGGTTTGAACTGCCAGCCTTCTGGTTAGCAGTTAAATGCCTTAGGCACTGCGCCACCAGAACTCCTGCTGGTAT